AGAAATCACTCTTTATACTAACATCTCTATAAAAACAAATATAAAAAGGATCTAATTTTACTCTCGCCATAACCTAATAAAAAATGTTAAAAAAAATTTCAAGGGTTAGTAATCTAATAATAAGTAATGAAATTAAAATATATATATATGTATATATATCATTAAAAATTAAAAGAACTCGATTCAATCCAAGTTAATTTAATTAACTCACCACCTGCAATATAAAATCAAAACAAAAAATTAGACTTTTAAAAGAAAAATATGACAGAAAAAATCAAATTAAACTTCAAAAAACAAGTCAACCAAAACTAACTTAACTACCCCGTACTTAGGATAGCCCAATGAAAATAAAAGCAAAAAAATAAAAAAGTTCAAGGACAAGTAATGCTAGTTGATAGAATAAAAAAAATTAAAAAAAAATATAAGAAAAAAAATATAAGTCAACCTAAATTGACTCAACTAACTTGTTATCTAGAATATGAGATTGAGATAACTCAACAAGGATAAGTGAAACAAATAATGAAGTTGAAGGCCTATTGACCAGATATCAAATTATAAATTTGAAAAATAATATTTTTAAAAAAATACCAAACTTAAATCAGGTTTAGGTTATGTGATGAATATTACCCTATAAGAAGATAATTATAAAAAAATAATAAGGTAAATTTTCCAGTCATAAAATAATTTAAAAACTAGAGTAAAATCAATAAAATTATAAACTAGAAAACATAATTGTTTTTGGAAGGACTAACATGAATTTAACATAAAAAAGAAAAAAAAACCTTTAATGTACTTTAATTGGGCCTCCATTACAAGCACGCATCACATTATAAAAAAAAAAAAAACTCATCACTTTTAATAGCCGTGGATAGAAGATTTAGTAATTATAAAACTTTCCACACGGCCCCCTAAAAAAAAGAAAGGGTTGATGCGTATATATTAACAATTTTTTTTAATAGTATTTTATTAAATAACCCCTATTTAAATCTAAAAGTTACCGTGAAAAAACTAAAACATCTTTAAAACCTCCCTTGATTTTTGTGGATTTCAATAATAATATTGTCATTTAGCTGTTTTTTAAATAAATAAAAATAAAAAATTTCTATATATATGTTTGGTTTTTTTTTAGGGTCATGACTATAATTTTACTATGTAATTTCTTAAAAAAAAAACAAAAACAACCTTTGACTAAAACTTAATATATTTTTTTTCTTTTAAAGAAAAAATAATTATTTCAACATGATAGAAAAAAAATACATTGATCAATTTATCCTTAAACAATCTTACAATATCAAGTAAAAAAGATGATTTTATCTCACATAAATTGCAAGGTTATTTAATTTTCTGGTGAGAAAAGGACTAGTTATTTCACTATTCTAATAAACAATAAAATGTCTCTGTAATTACAGTGTTTTACTGATGATTTTTAGTTTTTTTTTTCTAATTCTATTGGCATACAAAGAACACTTATTTAATTTTAATGTTGATGGCTCCTTGGAAAATCAAAGAAATTACACGGGCAGATCATCAAGGTGACATGAGCCGGAATTTCGAACGTTAAAGTTGCTTCCGTCAAAATTTGAAGGGTCTCTTTCTATCTTGTCGGCAAACTTGACTTCATTGATATTCTTTTCACAGAAATACTGTAAAATAAAAAGGAATATTTTGATGTTAACCATTCATAAAGAAAAACATTCCAAGAGGAATTGTGATATTTACCTCAAAACAAAATAGTGTTATTCACACTCCACTGTATATTATAGACGCTAAAATAGCTTTATTTAATATTTTTATTTTATTCTATTGAGATTTTAAAAGTAATAAGTTTTACAATGGACCTTCTTTATTCTTTTTTTTTTTAAATAAATGTATAGGAAAAGTAGTTTAATATTATTCATAAATAACTGTGGCTTTATTTTTCAGAATACAATGGACCTCCAAAATATACTGTTTAAGACAAACATATACTGTAAATGGTAAAATAAAACACTTAAAATATAGCTTTTTTGCTTTACTTTTCTTTCTATCTTTTTTCTTCTTGATATTATTTTTTAAAGTATATTAAAATTAATTTGTTACTTTTATTTCTATCTTTTTTCTTCTTAATATTATTTTTAAAAGTATATTAAAAGTAATTTGTTTAGAAGTTAAAATTAAATAGTAATATAGACTAATATTAAATAAAATTGTATTAGTCTCTACGATAAAAAATGAAAATAACACCATTGAAAAGAAAAAGCGTGCAATCCCCACTGTCACTAGCCCGCGCACCCGCACCGCCATCACTCCTTCCGCTGTCATTTCCACTGTTTTGATGTACCCTCCCATCACTAGCATTGCTGACGCACACCACCGCTATAATTTGTTCTTGCAACGCGGGAACATGTGTATAAGCCACGCGTTGAAGTTTTTATTATTTTTGGCTAGCAACACTGTTTAAGTAAAAATTTTGCAAGATAATACAGCTAAAAAAAATTCTTGAGAAATTACGCAGTTTAAATAAATAAAGACATGATTACCAATTATGTCTTTATTCAAATCAGCAATTCTGAATCATTGCTATATAACAAGAACAATATTCAAAATTACTAATTCAATTAATATAAAAACTTACATTCCTTTTGTTCTTCCTACCACAACCGTTGCTCGTCACCTGCAAAGACCCTAAAAACCAAGCTTTTTTTGCTTGAAATCGCTGAAAACAGCTATCTATCCTCCATTAAAACACCAAAATCTTCTTCCCCTGAACTCCACACGCATTTCTAGTTTTTTTTTCAATAAAAACCTCCAACTAAATCTCCTCCTTCGGTCTCTCCGCCATGACCATCACAAGCTACCGATGAATTAAGGTAAAAACACTACGTTTCTCTAAATTTAATTAATGTCATTGCTAAATTGTGAAATTTTTAGTTTTAGTTTATTATTGTTTGTTTAGTTTGTGTCATGATTGAGTATTTTGTTTGAATTGAGATAATTTAAGATTTGAGTAAGGTAATTAAGTATGTTTTGACACAATTGATGTTGTTTATTGAATCAAATAAATCAAGGCTCGCAAAAAAAAAAAAAAAAAAGAATTTGTGATGGGTTTGAAGAGAAAATACAGTAATTATATATATATATATTATTTGAACTGAGATAATTTAAATTATAATTTATAAACTTAGGTATGTTTTAATGCAATTGATGTTATGAATATCAAAATGATAGTAATTAGAGTTTATGCTGAGTTTGGTGATAAATTACAGTAATTAAATATATTATCTTAATTAAAATAGTTTAAATTCTAATCGGCACAATTAAAGATGTTTTTACGAAATTGATGTTATGAATGTTGAAATAATAGTAATTAGAGTTTGCATTAAGTTTTATAATAAATTATCTAAAACAAATATTTATTTTGTATTGAAATAATTGAGCTAATTTAATTTTCAATTAATGTGGTTATCTCTTGAGTTTAGTTAAAATATTAAATGGCAACTATAAGATAATGAGGCCTTTCGTTATGAGATTTGGTCACGATACCAAAATAGATGGCATGATTTGCACTGATATGATTTTTTATTCTGAAAATTTAATATATAGTATTGATTTGAAGGGTTGATAAACTTTCAGCACTAAAAATTATTCAATAAATACTGGTTAAACATCTCACATTCGCGCTTGAATATTAATTGTAATTATCTATAACAGCTTTTATGCAATTATAAAGTCTTCAAGCACCAAAATATCAATGATATTTCCATGAAACATGCCGTAAAAAGTTAAATTGCTTTAGATGGCAAAGTTGAAAGTTACTCACGGATTGAGATTGGCTGCGTCGGTCTATTGTGGAAGTCATGATTGATATAAGTGTTATGAGACCTCGACATTGAATTTAACAAATTTCAACGGATCTAAGTATATCCCTAGACCATGATTCATTTTCCCGGTCTATACATGTATGATGTATTTAGACTGGACAAGGTTTTCGGATATTTTGTTTTTTACTGCAAGCGGAGTTCCTATTTAACATTTTATTTTTAACTTTTACCGTGGGATTGGATATCATCACCATTCACAAACAAAATAGGGATGTTAACAATTTTTTTTTTAATTTCATTTTACGAAACGACGTGGTAGAAATGCGTTTCTTGCTTAAAAATAAACGTCCATTCTGAAACAATCAAAACCTAAAAGATGAATTTATTGTTTTAAATAGATAAACACGAATGTTTCAAAACTTCGTTGCTATTTAGTTTCAAACTTTCATGATTAAAGTATTTTTTATTTAAAAAATATTAAAATATTTTTATTTATTAAATTTTTTTAAATTCAATTCATCAAATAATAAAATATTAAAGAAAAATAATCCAAAACAAAAAAAATTTAAAATGTTTTCAAACAATTCTCTCTGTACGCTCTAACTGAAAGTCACCACAAGTTTTGTTCGATACCAGCAAAGCATCTTCAAGTCCCAAAATAGACCTGCAGGAACTCACTCTTGTCAATCCACAACTAACACCAAGAGTTGAATATCATATTAAAATCACAAATTACCAAAAATAACTTATCCATTCACTCGTGTCACTTTAGGAGTACTCTGTATGATACCCACCAACGTTAATTGTAAAAATAAAAAATAAAAAAGCATTTTTTTAAGAAAATAAATTCTTTTTTAAAAGCTGGAATCACCACCGTACAAATATCATTTTAGTATTTTTTTAATAATTTTAATGTAATTTTATTAAAAATAAGAGAAATTTAAAATATTTTTAAATAAAATATATTTTTTATATAAAAAAAGTCATGTAATGGAACACCCAGGCCCCCTCTGGCCTCTTTCCCT